ATATTTTTTAAAACTCCCTATGAATTAACATTGTATAAAAAAACTTTTTTTCCCTGTTTAATATGTTTTTGATTCCCCATTTGTAAGTTTGATGACATACCTGATCTGTTTCCAAAGCCAGTGAGTTGTCATAGTATTTATCTGTACTGTGGGTTCCATCAAGGGCATTACTGTTGTGTTAGGCAGCACAATCTGAATGTCTTCTCCAGCATTTGCTAAAAATGTCATACATTATCTATACAGTATGGCCATGCATCAAAATTTTGTGCATATTAGTTTATTTTCTTTGGTATTTATTTAATGAAAATATTCTTAAAATAAAGATATTTAGTATAATGAAATATTTAATATTATAAAGACTAATTCAAACAAAAACACGTTTTTAATAAATATAATGTTACCACACAATCAATTATAGAATGTTTAGTAACCAGCTTCAAATTCTATTATTAATATTAACCTTAAAGATAAGATGAGCACAAGATACCCCACAGAATTAGCTAACATACCTTTTGGTGCAGCAAGGTTTGGCTTTTGTACATAAACATAGACTGAAGTATTAGAAGACTGGCCAATGCTATCAAGCTACAACGAAGTATAAACTGATAGTGACCTTCCTCCAAATTACTTAGATGCAAAAATGGGGTTCTCGTGTCCTGAAGTAAAATGATTTCAAATAGTCAAAGTACAAAATCTTTACAAACTGCATCGTCTAACATAAGAAAATACAGTAGGACCCTCATATCTGCAGGGGATACAGTCCAAGGACCGAAACCGTGGATAGCAGCAAACTCTATATGTAAGTCCTATAAATACCTATTATAAGGTTTGATAAATTATGCACAATAAGTGGAGAATTATCACTTTTTTACTGATGGGAGGCACTTCATGGCTTCTCTTAGGCTTTGAAGAAACTGCCAGCTTCTCTACTTTTTGGGCCATTATTATGCAAAATTAATAGGTAATTTTTGGGCCACAGTAAACCATGAATAACTGAAATCGTGGATACCGAAATAATGGATACAGGGGTTCTACTGTATGCCTACAATTCTCAAAACATCAGAAGATGGGATTCTATAAGAGCTGATTATATCAATTTTATGTGAAAATGATTAAAGAAAAATTACATCAATCATTTCTTACACTTAACTAATATTTTTTAATGCAGCAATATTCCCATAATTCATTATGATGTCATCATCACATGGCAATTTCTGAATTAACAAGAGTAATATTGATACAGATCTTTCATATTTTTAACTTTTATTATCATGCAACCTAATCAAGAGTTCATTACCTTTGTAAATTATGAGTTCATTACCTCTGTAACTTGCTCAGCTATCAAAACTTTGGGGTCCAGTCCCTGGACCAATTATGTACCTCTGTAATCTTTTGACTACTGTCCACAGGATGGGTATGGGGTGCATAATAAACATATTAAACTAAAAACTAACTTATACAAATAACATATATGAACTATACGGTCCCATCTGGAGTATTCACACCAGTTAAGAAAACAGACATTCTGCTAACTCAGAAACTTTAACAAATTCTTTGCAATACATTAATTTAAGTTTTTTGTAAGGTAACATATGCTAATTAGTTGTCCAGTTCAAAATGATGCGTATGTAAAAAAAAATTTTTAACACACCAATCGTCTCCCATTGAGGTAGGATGAAAGAAAGCTTATTCAGTGTCATTCATTCAATTGCTGTCTTGCCAGAAGTGTGTTGACATCACAATTCAGATGACCCTCACCCCTCCTTCAGAGTATAGGCACTATACCTCTTATCTCCATTCCCAAGTCCAGCTCACATGTTTCTCCTTAATCCCTTCAAAAATGTTACCTTGCTCACACTCCAGTCAAGTCAAAAAAAAAAAAAAAACTGTTTTCATTCAATCTGATCCTACATGTTCACAAAAACGTGTTTGATGTTCACACCCCTAGTACTCAAAACCTCCTTTACTCCCTCCCTGTAACCCTTCCTGGAATCATTCCCAACCCCTCCTTTCTTCCACTCAAGATTTACATACCTTCTTAATCATCCTACTCTGCTCCATCCTCTCTAAATGCTCAAATACAACCTGCCCCAACAACCCCTCCTCAACCCTCTGATGCTGTAACTGAAATGCAGCAAGCAACATTCTCCAAATACTCAACCCAAAAGCTTTCTTATTTGTAATCCTTAAAATTTACACGTTTTATGTATAAGATGTAAGATGCCTAAAGAAAAAAACAAGATCATGGACACTTAACAGAAACTGAACTTTTCTGAAGAATAACTTACCCTATTAAAATATCAATGATTCACAATTTTTATCATTATCTATAGACCATACAACTCAGTCATATTTAAAATGGGTAGATTCAGAGGCTTTCTTCTACTTGCAAATATGACAAATCATGAACATATTTACCTGCATGTCCACTGCTTTACCAGAATCTTTAGGGCCCTTAGTCCATTCCCATTCTTCAATACCATGATCATCAGTGCTTGTGTTCCCATACAAGATTATTTCTGTCTGCAATAAAATTTTCTTGATTAGCATGACATGAAAATTTTTGTTCAATCATTTATTAAACAACTTAGCATCATTATATTTACAGCAGGACCTGAAACATTACAATTAATGAGTTGGATCAATAATTTACAGTATATTTGAAGCAATGTTTTCTTGCATATTTTGAATGAAATCCTATAGTTATTGAGTTTTCCATACAGGGGTCCTGCATCAGGAAAAAAAATTAACATTGTAAAAAAAAAAAAAATTCCACATTTCATGATCAGTTTGCTCCAAAAAATATGAATATACACTCACTATCCAACTTATGACCTGCACAACATACGACCACTTGGCTTACGGATCCTGCACGACCGGCAGCAGGGCTGCCTGACGCAGCCAGACATAATGTGATCCTTTATTGACAACATTTACCCAAAAGTAGGGTGTGTAGTAGTTAACATGTTGGTGGAAAAGTCAGCTGGTACATGAGAAAGAAAGGTTACCAAAGCTATGGCTTGGGTAGCATAAAAAATAGGTTGGGCAAGTGTATAAGGATGGATGGAGTTGAGAGGGCATGTTTCAGTGTCCTGTCTCTATTACATTAAGGAAATTTAAGAAAGGAGACCGCAACTGCCAGCGGGGCCTGTTCATCCAAACTGGCCATATCTTTTATGAAGCAGCACATATGTGATGGAAGGGTTTACCATTTTCAAGAGGATTCTCACTAAGACTTCAGAGATGATGAAGCTGCCTTTGTTTTGTTTAATTGTGTTAGAAACAGCGATTAATGCTGAAGAAGTGTGAGAGATCATTTTTCATCATGTCTGAAGTCTTAGTGAGAATCCTCTTGAAAACAGTAAACCCTGCCATCACAAATTGTATACATAAAAGGAAAATGCCCAGTTTTGGGCCAACAGCCTGCTGCAGTGTTCCTCCCTTTCGTGTGTTTTTATGTAATAGAGAAGGGACACTGAAAACACAACCTTACTCAATCCAATCAATATACATTTGGCCCAAACCTATTTTTTATGTACCCAAAAAGCCATTGCTTTTGTAACCTTGCTATCTCGTGTACCAGTTCGCAAATGTTCTCGGAAATAAACAACTGTTTGTGTTGTGCAACAAGTGTTTCTCCTAAACCTTAACATAAAAGTAAAGTAAAAGATTGAAAAATACAAAAATAATAAAATAAATCATTACAATAAAAACTATGATGTTGATTACAGGAAACCTTCTGGGTAGGAAGTGTGACACAAGCAAGAGAAAGCATGTGACAAAAATGGTCTATTCTTATTGTCAATATCACAATAAGGCTTATTTACTTCACAATTGATCTTTATGGACATAAGACAAAATATCAGATCTAGCACAAGGGAAAACTATAATAGACACTCATAGCTTACAAAAACACTGAAAAAAAGGGGATTTTTTCGGGAAAAAACCATTTCCCCGAGTACTCTGGAATGCGCGTGCTTTCTGCTATTATCTCAAAAGTAAGTTGTTCACCTATTTTGTGAAAACCAATCAATAATAATGAACAGTTTAACCCCTTCAGGGTCCAAGGCCAAAATCTGTAGTAGTGCTCCAGTGTCCAAGAAATTTAAAAAAAAAAAAAAAAAAATATTTTTCTTACAGAATTAACCCTTTGACTGTTGCAGCCGTATATATACTTCTTACGAGGTACCGTGTTTGACGTATATATACTCATAAATTCTAGCGGCTTCAAATCAAGCAGGAGAAAGCTGGTAGGCCCACATGTGAGAGAATGGGTCTGTGTGGTCAATGTGCACCATATAAAAAAAATCCTGGAGCATGCAGTGCATAATGAGAAAAAAAAAAAACTCGATCGGTTTTTTTAATTAAAATGCCGACTTTGTGGTTATTTTTCATATAGTATTTATGGTTGTATTCTCGTTTTCTTGGTCCCATTTGATAGAATGGAAACATATTATAGAATTAGAGGTGATTTTGATTGATTTTACTATACAAAAAGTAACCTAGAAATGGAGCTCAATAGTACGGAATGTTTGATTTTATGCCAATGTTCAAAAGTAAACAAAGTGATTGCCATTGGTCCAATAAAATGTCCAACTAGCATTCTATATTGTAGTCATGAATGGGGTTGATGTGACTTCTATACATTATTACAGTATTGCAGTAGTCTGCATAATAGTAAGTTCTATTTTTTGTTTGAATAAAAAATTCAAAATAGAAAGCAAAAGTGTAATATCAGAGGGGCCTGGAGACATGGACTGATGAACAAAGAAAATTGTTATTTTAGAGCCCAGGAATGTCTGCTTGTTCATTCTCGACTTCTTTTAGCCGAGGCATAATTCCGTAGTTTTCCATTCAAAATTTCCGTTTTTTTGGTTTCATTACAATCGGGAAATGATTTCTATTCTTTTCTTAAGAAAAAAATATTATTTTTTTTTTAATTTTGCGACACAGGAGACACCTCAGGATGGGGGTTGCGACAGTCAAGGGGGTTTAAAAGAGTATATTTTTGTGGAAGGTATTAAGACAAAAAAAAAAATTTCTGGATCAGTACCTTACCGAGATTACAGTTGCCGCGGAAGTTTGACCCCAATGACGTGGTGGTGGCAACAGCGACGATATCACCACACGCACAAATACTTTGTTTACGTTTTTTTGTGTGTTTTTCTTTACATTTTCCAATTTTTTTTCTTTTCCTTAACTAACTTTGGGCCTGAGAGAACCAATACTGTATATAATGTTATATAATAAACTCATTGTATTTGAACACAATAAAACTGCACTAAAGTTATTATCATATTATTGTTTAACCACTGTTGTTTATTTACAATAAAAATGCACCAAATCTTGTTCAATACTAATTAAGTTCTTCACATTTTACAAACACTGGACATGGTTTTAGAACGGCTGGAAGCTTGTGGGAACTCCATGAAACAAGGCACCCATGCTCAGAGGTACCTTACATTCTTCACAACATTATACTGAGTGTCTTTGGGCGTCTTTGTTGCCGTCGTTTTTGTATGTGCACTGACGATGCATCTCTTCTGAGCAAATTCTTTTGAGTTGAAGGGATCTGTTATTATGAAATGATCACCTTCCCTCCTCAAATGTTTGGGTTATTCTGAGGAGTTCGGGGCCCTAGTTGTATAGCATATTGTTGTTACCTGCCGCTCTGCCATGTGAGTTGTCTGACACCAGAACAACACAAAATTTCACCATTACGGTGGTCTGTTGCCAGTCTTCATTTGGTACAATATTATATTACATTGAGCATTTGAAATGTCATGGAAGATGGAAGAAAAGTTCATGTACCACTTGGTAACTTTTACGAACACAATCAGCAAGGCCAATCTTGCATATCCACATTGTCAACCAAGCGCATGTTTTGTGTATAATCAATCACTGTCGCTGGTTTTTCGAATACGTTTTCATTAGTCACTTGATAACTGTCTGGCCATTTCTTTACGGTGAATGGTGGTCTACCAATGTGACATCTTCGTTTTGTCATGCCACCGTAATGCCATGTGCATGGCAGTAAAACACCTGCACGTCATCACCACGAAGCACCTGCGTTGAGCCTGGGCATATGTTTATCGATTAGAAACGCACTGTGCACACACATTGAGGGGTCTTGTTCACTCGCAAGAAATCACTGAGTAATGGGCTTGTGTACCAGTTATCAGTATATAATGTATGCCCCTTACCAAGATAACATCTTGGTATTTTTCAATGTTTTACTTCCCGTGTATACAACTATATCCAATACCAGGCCACTGTCACAGTCACAGAGTACAAACAGTTTTTACCAAAAGCATTTCCTCTTGCTCGGTATATACTGCTTGAATGACAGCCTACCTTTGAACAAAATCAAAGACTCGTCAATTACAAGATTCTTGAATGGATAAAAGTACATGCTGAACTTTTGTTTGAGATACATAAAAAAATTTCTCATCTTGTATAACCTGTCACTTCTGTCAGGCCTGGTTTTGTCAGAGAAGTGGCAAAACGTAACATAACAGTAAGATAAACCTGTTCACTGGTTGATTTCACTGAAGACCGGGGGTAGAAATTAGCCGATTGTGGACCAGTATGCTTTTATATTTGCTTATAGACATGGGCATAAGCATCATTGTTGCCAAAAAGCAAATAACATTTCTGCAACATTCTGTCTCTTTCCACCGGTGTAGTCTAGACTGTGGTGATAGGATCGTATTTGCCCATGGTGTACTCATAAATACTTATTAACTTTCCTGACAATAAGTTTCATTCAATGGCTGGTTACAAAAGGAATAGTTCAAAGGAATTCCAGTTCATTTGCAGTGTTTCAAGGGGGACAAGTTGGGTAGAATTCCATTTGAGAGTCATCAAAGTGGCTGGAGCTTGGAACAAAAATTAGGATTTTGCTGCCATCCAGATTACGTTTGCTGGTGCCGATACTGCGACATCATAGGCTGGTTGTGCGGGTTAGGGGTAGTTGTGGTTGTGGTGAGCTGGTGGCTGATGTGCTCCGCTTTGTCCTTGGACTGCAGAGTGAGCTGTGGGTCCCAGCCTTTGGACTGGCGAGTCTTCACCACGGACCGCCCATGGCACTACCTTCACCATTACCACCATCTCTGATGCCTTGTGGTCTATCCATTGCCAAAGTGTAGCACTTATTATCCTCCACTATCACTATTCTATACCTTGTGTTGGGCCACGGGATGTACTTTCAGTATGTACTCCGTCCCCTGGGCACAGGGCATAGGGTACACTACCCGAGCGCAATGCGGCGGCGTTACATAACCTACGGCTTCACTGGTGAATATGGATTCCTCACTATCACTACTCGAAATGATCGTCAAGAGCAATAAAAATCCACAAGCCAAGCATTCACTATCATTCATCATTACTGGTGTCGAGGCCTGGCCACGCGAAATTATGTATTCCCTTGCGTTGAGGTACAACCGACCGTGGACTGTCGGTGCCCACACCAGAGTAGAAGGTGGGATCGCCAGGGTTTTCTGCACTATTATCGATATCCTGGT